GGGAGGGAGGGTGGGAGGGAGAGAGGGAGAGATAGTGGTGGTATAACACTTAACTACTACTTATACTACCAAAAAAATAAAATAAAATAAAAAGGGCTGAGAATATAGCTAAATGCTAGACTGAGTTCACCCCCAATACTGGGAGGGGGAGAGGGACAAGAAAAGAAGAAAAAGTTGAAAACCTTCATTTGCTTTTTGGTGGTACTGAAAATTGAATCTAGAGCCCTGCACATGCTAGGCAAGCACTCCACCATTAGCCACTTCCCAGACTCTTTTATTTTGAGACAAGGTCTCGCAAAATTTTCTAGGCTGGTCTCAAATCTGTGAAACTTCCACCTCAGCCTCTCCAGTAGCTAGGATGACAGACAGGCTTGTGTCTTCAGCTAATACCTTCTTTTAAATACACGGTATACCTTTTCATTTGTTTTCTATTTTGAGTCAGGGTCTTGCTAAGTTACTTAGGGTCTCATTAATTTGCTGAGGCTGGCTTTGAACTTGTGATCCTCTTGCCTCAGCCTCCCAAGACACTGGAATTACAGATATGCACCATCACGCCTAGATAAAACCTCCAATTTTGAGCAGGAAAAAGAGCTATATTTCTTGACATTCAAGTGGGTTATGAACTCCCATTTTTACCCCATATACAGATTGTCAAGAACTATGTAATGTTTTGAACAACCAACAATAAAAATTAAAAAAAAAAAAAAGAGCTATGTTTCCACTTTGGTTTCACAAAAGATAAGGAACAACTTAATTTTTCTTTCTAGTAGTAAACCTCTTTTCAGATACCATCCAACATCTCAAGGTTAATGTGGTATATTTCTGTTGTTAAAAAATAACTTTTTCACCAGGCACCCGTAATCTCAGTGGCTCAGGAGGCTGAGGCAGAAGCATCTTCAAAGCCAGCCTCAGCAACTTAGTGAGGCCCTAAGCAACTTAGAAAGACCCTGTCTCTAAATAAAATATAAAAAAGGGTTGGGGATGTGGCTCAGTGGTTAAGCACCTCTAGGTTCAATCCCCAGTATCAAAAAATTAATAAATAACTTTTTTCTTTTTAGTGCTAGAAATTTACCATCTTATTATAAATATTTTTAACTGATCTATTACAAAATACCATCAGCTGCAGAGTCTACAATTACTGGGCATTGAGTTGCAAGTTTTCAATTTGTGCTACTGTCAAAGACACAGAATAATATAAAAGGGCAATCTTTTTAGTATACTCTTAAATTTTTTATTTGTTGAGATGTGTTAGTTTTCCACTATAAATGAAATAGCTAGCATGATAATTATCTCTGGAAAGCTGAAATTTTCTTAAAATGCTTTACTTTATGTCAAGTATTTTAGACCTTAGGTCAGCAGAATCCAGTCAACTGCCTGTTTTCTGTGTCTACAAGCTAAGAATGATTTTTACATTTTTATATGGTTGGAGGGAAAAAAATTTAAATACCATTTCTTAAACACTGAGCCACAACCCCAATCCTTTTTAATTTTAATTAACTAATTTATTTGTTTGTTTGTTTTTGGTACCAGGGTTTGAACTCAGGGGCACTCAAGCACTGAGAAACATCTCCAGCCCTATTCTGTATGTTATTTATAGACAGGATCTTACAGTTGCTTAGCACCTTGCTTTTACTGAGGCTGGCTTTGAACTCTCGATCCTTCTGCCTCAGCCTTCTGAGCTGCTGGGACTACAGGCATGTGCCACCACATCCAACCCTTTTTTATATTTTATTTAGAGATAAGGTCTCCCTGAGTTGCTTAGGGCCACTTTGAACTTGTGATCCTACTGCCTCAGCCACCAGAGCTGCTAGAATTACAGCATTAGCCATCACATCTGGCTAAACACCATTTCTTGACATATGAAAAATACACTGAAATTTCAATTTCCCGAAGTTTTACTAAAACACAACACATTCATTTACATATGATCAATTTCTGTTTTCATGAAACAGCAAAGTAGCTGCAAGTGAAACACGATGGTGAACAAAGCCTTAAGCTGTTATCTGGCCTTTTTTTAATATTTATTTTTTAGTTGTAGTTGGATGCATACCTTTATTTATTTATTTATTTATTTATTTAAATATTTATTTTTTAGTTTTAGGTGGACACAATATCTTTATTTTTATGTGATGCTGAGGATCAAACTCAGTGCCTCACACGTGCTAGGCGAGTGCTCTATCACTTGAGCCACAACCCCAGCCCCTATTTATTTATTTTTATGTGGGTGCTGAGGATCAAACCCAGGGCCTCACACATGCTGGGCAAGCACTCTACCTCTGAGTCACAACCCCAGCCCTGTTATCTGGCCTTTTATGGAAAAATTTTGCCTGTCCCTTTTCTAAACCATTCATTTTTATCATTATGAAAATCTTCTTTTAGCAGGGTATGATACAGCACACCTATAATCCCAGTGACTTGGTAGGCTAAGGCAGAAAGATCGCTTACAAGTTTCAGCAACTTAGGAAGATCCTGTCTCAAAGTAAAAAATTAAAAAAAAAGTGGTGAAGCACCCTTGGATTTAATGCCCAGTACCAAAACAAAAACAACAAACAAACAAAAACCCTAACTTCCTTCAACATTACTTAAAAGGTATGTGCTGTACAAATTTCTTTTTTTTTTTAAAGAAAGAGTGAGAGAGGAAAGAGAGGGAGAGAATTTTTAATATTTATTTTTTAGTTCTCGGCAGACAAACATCTTTTGTTGGTATGTGGTGCTGAGGATTGAACCCAGGCCGCACGCATGCGAGGCAAGCGCGCTACCGCTTGAGCCACATACCCAGCCCCCAAATTTATTTCTTTATAGTCACAAAGTGATGCATGTATGTCAAAGAGGAACTAAAACTGTGGAAACAAGTTTCACATCATTAATTAGACATAGATGATGTTAACTGTTAGTCTATAACTATGGTTCTCAAATTTCAGCATGGAACAGAATCTTCTATTATCAGCACCATGCCCAGAATTTTTTTTTTAATTTTTATTGTTGATTGTTCAAAACATTACATAGTTCTTGACACATCATATTTCACACTTTGATCATGCCCAGAATTTTTTTTTTTTTTTTTTTTTTTTTTTTAATAACTTCATTTCAACATAACAGGCTCCAAAGTTTTAT